CTTCTCGGCCCCGGGCGAGGGCATTCAGTATGTGAGTGGCGAGATCCACCAGATGGCCATCGACGGCCTCGCGCGCTCCTTTGAAGTTCAGTTCCCCGACATGCTGGAGGTAGAGCAGCTCCCCCCCTCCCACAGGATCACGACCGAACGCACTGGCATACGGACCGTCAAAGCGTTAACCCGCATCGACAGAATCTTCACAAACTCATACACAGGCGACATGTGTGAATATCATCCACAAGCAGGTACAGTCTGGGATGTATGTGATCTTCGGGCCCCCAGTGATCACTGCCTTGTATTCCTCTCTCTGAGACTCTCTGGACCCTCTTCAGATCCCTCTGTTCCCTCTTGGATCTCTAAGCATCGTTGGTATCCTGCCGCTCTACAGCATATCACCGCTGGCGTCGATGTCCCCGAGGGCCCCCTACCAAACTTAAAGAACTTAAAGAGTGCATGTATATTGCAGCTACGCGTATTCGTCAGCAGACCAAACATTTTCTTCCTGAGACTGCCGCCCAGCATCTTTCGTTGCGATGAACCATCAATCACGCCATGCACAGCAGACGCGAGCACGTGACCAAGCCAGCCTTTAAGATTTTGCCGAAGCTCGCCTCGTTCATAGATAGGGACACCTGCATGTGGATCGATAGGCATGGCTTTCGTCAGTACATGGGAGAGGTGGCTAGAGGAGGTCTAGAGGAAGAGAGGAAGCAGTTGATGCAGGAATTCGCCCCCGAACGTTGTCGAGATGCACGGCTGGCCACGATTCAAAGATGAGTGCAATCCTGGGCCCTTCGGAACCGCCAGATGACTCTCGCTGGAGTTCGTGCGCCTGACGGGTCAGATTTCCCTTCGCTTGAAGTAGGGGCGGATGCGCTTCGCCACCGCTGGGCCAAAGTTCATAGCGCTGATGGAGCCTCTCACGAGGTCGCCGCCGAGCTTGCCCCGTTCATCCAGCCCGTCCGCCCTGCAGTCGAATGGCAGCTCCCTCGGGGATGTTTTCACCACATGATCAGCAGCTTTCGGGATTATGCTCCTGGCCCAGACGGGCTCTGCTACTCTGCTTGGAAATATGGAGGTGAATTTGTTATTGATGCTCTATATGATCTCTACTGTTACTCCCAGACAGGTGCCCCTCTCGCCGAGGACTTCAACAAAGGTTTGATGGTATTCATCCCCAAAGGCTCCCACCAATAAGATGTGAACAGCTTCTGGCGTGCCCCCGATGATGCACGCCCGATAACATTGAGCAACGCGGACGCGAAGATCTTAGGCTCGGCCCTGAACAAAGCCCTCTCCGACCAGTGCGCATTAGGCGCCAGCGAGGCCCAACGGCTTCGTCCGCGCCCGTCAGATGTCTGACAACAGTTTGAAGCTCGAGTGCAACATGCTGCGATATGGCATCTTGCAGTGTATCAAGAGCGCCGGCTCCGCCCTCCTGGATGCGAAGGCGGTTTTCCCGAGTTTATTACACTTCTGGATCGAGTTCGTGTTGACTGCCATGGGGGGTCCAGACTTTTTCTTGAATTCGGTCAAAGCTCTGTATAGCAAAAAAATATCCGTGGACATGCCGCTGGGATGCCGTCGGTTTCCTGGATTCGAGATCGGCCGTGGGGTTCGTCAGGGGTGCCCGATGTCAGGAAGTAGATTCGCCCTTTGTCTCGATCCAGTGCTGCGCCAGATTCAGAGCAGATTGCCGAGCCCTCAGCACTCGCTGAGCGCGTTCGCCGACGACGTGGCCTTCTTCGCGCAGGACTTGCACAGAGCCCTGCCAGTACTGATGCGCATCTTGGTGCGAGCATCACTTGTCACAGACCTAGCGATGAACCTTGCTAAATGCGTCGTAGTCTTCTACAGGCAGGAGACCGACCGAGAGGAGGAGTCGAGGGGATTCCAGGACCAGGGAACTCGCGTTCGCAAGTTTACTATTCAGAATAGGGGCAAGCATTTATGCATCCACTTGGGCCACAGAAGTATCGCACGCTCCTGGTCTAGTCCCATCGCCAAGTATCTCGAGCGCTGCCGTTTCATCCGCTCCCTCGCTGGTGGCCTCCATCAAGCTTTTATGTCATGCAATTCCGTCGCCATCTCCGCCCTCCTGTTCGTCGCCTCTTTCTTTGCCCCCCCCCCAAAAAAAAAGGAAGCCGCTGATGCCGAGAGGGGCGGCCTCCAGATCTTGACAGCATGCCCGAGATATGCTATTCCGAATGCGGTCTTGTTCCAGTTTAAGAATATCTTCAACAACAGCTGGAGTGCTTGCTCCTTGTGGCACGAAGGGCGAGCTGCACTCTACAGGGATGCCGCAAGGTCTCCGATCTTCTGGGGATGCAAAGTGGAGTTGGAGGAGGCATTGGAGGGGGATGACCTGATATTGGGGTGGAGGTTCAACAAGTTGTATCAACACTCCCCCCTGAAGCATATGATGGATTTATACAACTATGCCTGGAGTCTTCCTCGGAATATCCAAAATCGCCCTTGGGAGGATGGTGTTCTCGAGTGTCCGAAGATCCAGAGAGAGCTCAAACATGTCTTCCTTGAGTTGTTCCCGTTTGAATCCCTGCAGGAGAAGATCGGTGCCCGTCTCAGGTATTGGAACGTGCACATCACGCCCGGCCAGATTGCCCTGGCTATCCTACGTTTGTGCATGCTGGGTCACAAATATCCATGCTTTATTGGTCTAAGTATCCTCAGATGTATGTGCAATGCTATAGATACTTCTCGTCGTTGTCGTCAAGCGTGCAAAGAGTGTCGTTTCGGATGTAGTGGTGCTGATGATATCTTACATTACTTTTCGTGCCCTCGTGTAGCTCCTGTAGTGAAGCGTCTCCTTCCCTCTCTTCCTGACTGGTGGGGTAATTGTGACCCTGGGGCGTGCCTTGATATGTACTCCTAGAAAGTATTCTTGCACCGACGAATTTCAAGCCACTGCTGTCGCTGCTGACCTAGTGCTCACTAGTTTCAATAATTTGTGTGCTCGTGATTTATTTTCTCACCCTCGGGGAGTGAAATTCCTGGAGGGACGTCTGCGCCTGACAGCGACGAGGTGTTGGAGTGAGGGCTCTGACACACTGATGGGGGGGTGGCTGGGCAGTCGCCTGGCTGGCGGACGGACTCGGCGCGCCTCAGGGAACGCGTCTCTTCTCCCCCTCCTCCTCTTCCTCCTCCTCATCATCATCATCCTCATCCTCTTCCTCTTCTTCAGAAGGTTTCTGGACAAATGGCTGTTTCTTTGCAACACGACCATCCTGGTAAGCAGAAGCATCGCGAAGTTCGCCTGGATCGCTGTCGGCGTTATTCGATCGCGTTCGGCGGCGTGGATTCCAAATCAGGCTGCTATTCGTTTCCTGCACGCTACACAGACGAATATCCCAACGTAGACACTGGAGCTGAAAGGTCCCCTCATGAGGTCACTAGGGCCTTCTGTATTAGGCGCTCGCGTAGGCTCAGGGGTCACATTTAGATTCAATGGCCCCGTGTGTACCTGCAGTCGGTCTTCTCCTCACCCACTCACTTCCAGAAGCACCAGTACTCTTTGCTGTACCAGCGTTATCGCGAACAGAGCGCGGACTGGATAGCTAGCTGCAACAACAAGACTTTATTCGCAATGCAAGTGGCAGGCCCCTGGGACAACGGGTTGGCTGAGAAGTTCGACCTTCATGGCTCCATTCCTGCATTCCCTCTCCCTCCGCCTCCTGTCACACCTTCGTGGCGAATAGAAGGTAACTGCACGCTGAGCTTCCAGTGTCATGCGGTAAGTCATGGATCCGATTCGGGGAAGGCCTCACTGTCACTCATCTCTTCTCCTCTCCTCTTCTTGCTCGTCCTCCTCCATCTCCTTTTCCCCTGTGGGTAAAGGGGGTTGCTTGACTGCACTGTAGGAGCAAAAAGGGGGAGGAGGCCCATTTTTAGAGGCCTCGACAGGCGAGGCTCGAGCTGGCAGCCTGAGCTCGGCGCGGGCCCACCCCGTGGGAGCTGGGCGCGCGCCGGGGCCAGTCTTCGGGGGAGGGCTGATCGGGGGGGGGGCGGACAGGAGGGGGCGGAACTCGAGGGGTGGAACTCCAGGCAGGGAGCTCGAGGGAGGAGGGGGGGAGGGGAGGGAAGGGGGGGAAGTAAGTCGAGGGAGGGAATGGAGGGTGAGGGGGGGGAGAGACTTGAGAGATGGGGGAAGGGAGGCGAGGGGAGGCAGGGAGGGAACTCGAGGAGGGGAGGGAGGGAGGAGGGGAGGATTGGATGGACGGTGCGCGGCCCGAGGGCGGACTTGAGGGCCGATCACAGGCCTCTTGGGGTCTCTCCTGCTTGGGGCCTGCTCCTCCTCCTTCTCCTCCTCCTCCTCCTCCTCCTCCTCCTCCTCCTCTCCCTCCTCCTCTCTCCTCTTCCTCCTCCTCCTCCTCCTCCTCCTCCTCCTCCTCCTCCTCCTCCTCCTCCTCCCATCTGCCTCGACGCCCCTCCGCCTGGGGACTCTGTTGTGGGCCTCTTGGGGGCTCTGTCGGAGACCCCCTGGGGGCCTCAGGGGTTCATTCTCGAAGCAGCGCTTGCGCTAAGGGCCTCGCCAGCGATCCACCCGCAAACCATCCGACCTCGCCTCGTCAGCGACCCACCCGCGGCCCACCCGCAAACCATCCGCGACGCACCCACATTGCTTTGACGAACAGTCGGCGCCTGCGGCGGGCTTGTGTAATGCGTAAAAGTCTGCCCCTGCGGCGGATTTCTCCCGAGCCTCGCAAACTGCCGACGACCCTCCCGCCCTCTCTCTCTCTCGTATCCACAGCGGCGGGGGCTATGGCGTTTGTGTCCATGTATCTGTATGTATGTATATCGTCATGTGTGTTGTGTATGTGTATACATGTGTTTGCATATGTTCACATCTGTATATGGAACACATGCGGATCTGTGTTATGTATCGCGGTTCACAGGCTGCACCGTGCGCAAGTTTCACCAACAAGGTCGAACATCGATAGTGCTTTGATCGTATGACCGGAGTCGCCGTGCCACACGCCGAGGTACCTCGTGTACGAGCTCCTACCGTGCGGCGACCTACAGGGCAGGCTGGTCAAGAGCAGGGAGGGGAAGGCTGCCAGCCCTGCCCGAGGGGCCTCCTCTAAGCTGTGGGAGCGTGCATCTGCGGAACGATCAGCACATACACATGTCTATAATTGCTTGCACATATATATATATATATATGTATACACATGTGCTCATACATGTATACCACATATGCATATGTAATGTGTATATATAGAGAGAGATATGTATCGGAGTAGGCCGGGGGGGGGCGGGCCAATGCCTGTTCCCCCCATGGGCGCCCGCCGGGAGTTGTGGGGGGGGGGTCAGAGCTCATGAGGCGGCCCAGGCCTGCCCCGAAACACGCCACGACAGGCTAAGGGGATCCCGAAAGGGCCCAAGACGCTCCCAAGAGGCCCCCAAGACGCCCAAGATGCCGTCAAGACGGCCGACGAGGACTCCAACACGCTCCAGGACGGACTCAAGAGGCTCCCCAAGAGGGAGGGCCCTGGGAGGCTGAATTTATTAATTTTCCTATGGTTTTTGAAGGATTTTGGCGTTCTCGCTTTTCCCACTTCCCAGCGCTCCCTCACGGCCTCGGAGACCCCTCAGATCGCTCCAAGACGGCCCACGAGGCCCCGAAGAGAGCCCCAAGACGGCCCAGGAGGCTGGTCCCCAGACAACTCGAGTGTGCCCCAAGAGCGCCCCAAGACGGGGCCCAGAGGGATCCCGAGGCGGCCCGGGCCCGCCCGCAGGCCACGACAGGTTCAGCGGCACCATAACGGGTACTCACAAACGGGTACTTTGGAGATTTGCCGAAAGTTGTCTTTTTTTGGCCCCTTCTGGCATTGCAGCGTTGCCCACATCGGGGAGGGTTAGGTTCGCAGGGTCACTGGCCAAAGTACCCGTTAGTGGAGTCCCCGTTAGAGGGGCGCTGACAGGCTCAGGGGGTCCCGAGAGGGCCCAAAACGCTCCCAAGAGGCCCCGAAGACGCCCAAGATGCCGTCAAGACGGCCGACGAGGACTCCAACACGCCCCAGGACGGAATCAAGAGGCTCCCCAAGAGGGCTCTGGGAGGCAAACATCAATAATTTTCCGATGGTTTTTGAAGGATTGTAGCGTTCTCGTTTTCCTCGCTTCCCAACGCTCCCTCACGGCCTCGGAGACCCTTCAGATCGCTCCAAGACGGCCCACGAGGCCCCGAAGAGGGCCCCAAGACGGCCCAGGAGGTTCCCGAGACAACCCAAGTGTGCCCCAATAGCTCCCCCAAGGGGGGCCCAGAGGGGGACCGCCAACCGACATTTCAAGGTCTCTGGCCCTAGAGGTCCCCAGTAGGCTTCCGGAGGCCACCAAGAGGCTCCCACGAACCCCCATGAGGCGCCCAAGAGGCACCCAGGAAGCCCCAAGAGACCCCCAAGGGGCTCCCAGGGAACGCCCAAGAGGCCCCCCAACGCACCCCGAGAAATCATGTCCCCAGAAAACCTTCCGGGGACATGGTTCATCATGGGCCCGAGAGCTCCCAGGGGCCCCCAAGGGCCCCCCAGGGAACGCCCAAGAGGCCCCCCAACACGCCCCAACAAATCATGTCCACAGAAAGCTTTCCGGGGACATAGTTCATCATGGGCCCGAGAGTCTTTGGAGGCTCCGAAGTACCATCACGCTACCGGAGAGCTGTCTGGGAAGTTGACTGGGAACATGACGGATCGCCTTCTCGCGGCACCCCGCAGATCGTTTCACACAAAGTTGCCCCAAGTGCCAACCCGATTCATCCGGTCTCTGGCTCCCTACGCAACCATTTTCCCCGAAAGTGCCGCGAAGTGTCCCGCAACGCACCACAGCGCCAGGGCGTGGCAGGCCAGAGGCAAAGGCGGAGGAAAAGGCGGTCAGTCTTCGCCGTCCCTGCCGCCCCCGCCGTGGTGGTGTCCAGCATGCGGGCACGCCAACGCCGCCAGCGACCTGATGTGCAGCACCTGCTACCCGCTCCCGCAGCAGACTCCCGCGGCGTTCAGCGTGTTCCGCGACCAGCCGCAACACCAGCATCAGCATGCAGGCAGCGGGCCGCAGCAGCAGCAGCAGCAGCAGCAGCAGCAGCAGCAGCAGCAGGCAACAGCGGGCAGCGGGCGAGATCAGCACCAGCGGCGGCGGAGGCGCACCTCAAGGCTGGTGCACAGCAGCGCTCGCCGCAGCCGTCAGCGCAGCCCGAGCCGCCCTCCGCCGCCCCAGCCCCAGCAGCGAGATGGCGAGCTTGCAGAAGAACCAGCCCCAGAGGCGCCTTCCCGACGCCAATCATCCCGCAGGCGTTCGCCAGCCACCGACGTCACGTTCGACGAGAGCGAGCCCGAGTCGACCGAGGAGACGGCGGATCGTCCAGCGGGCCCGCAGGAGGCCCTCGGTGTCCCCCCTGCAATGCCAGAGCAGGCGCGAGCACGCCCAGCCTGGATCCAGCCTCCCACGGACCCTGCTGCCTTCGCCATTCATAGGCGCAACCTCCGCCGCATGGCAGTGGCGTCTGCGAAGATGCTTCGCGCGCCCCGCGAGCTCGGCCTACCGACCAGCATCTTGGAGGCGCAGGAGCAGGAATACTCAGTCCTGATAGCAATGATCATCGCGGCCAGGGCCCTGGAGGTGCGCCCGAGCGCGCGGAGAAGGCGGCGCATGAAGCCACGATTGAGCACAAGGCCCGCCAGCTGGCCCAGCAGCATCGCGCCGACGAGCTGACCCGTGCACAGGTCTTGCTTCAGCAGCTCGAGACCCTCTTCCCGCTGCCAGGTGCCGCCAATGACGTCGAGATGCAGGGCGCTGCAACGCCTGTGGCGGAGGAAGTGGCGCCCGCCATGCCCGCTGCGACGGCGCCCGCCCAGATGTCAGGCGCCTCGGTCGCAGCCATCGCCGACCCCCAGCGGGGCCAGGCGAGCATGGCGCAGCAGATCGCGGGGCTGGCCACGGCGCCGGGCGGACTGCAGTCGGCTCTGACGCAGATCACGGCGGCAGCGAGTACGGCGGCGACTACGGCTACGACGACTCTGGCGGCGCAGCCAGCGGCTGCCCATCCTGCCCAGGCTGCGCAGCCCGCGCAACGCGTCGCAGCAGTGCCACAGGCTGCTGCCGCACAGCCCCCTGCCGCGGCATGTCCTGCGACGACGGGGGGGCAGCTCCAGGCACAGGCAGCGATCGACGCAGCGGACGCAGACAAGGATGAGAACACCACAGCCGATGCCAGTCAGACTGCGGCCGACGAGCGCAAGGCGGCTCGCCGGGCGGGCGCTCGCGCTGCTGCCGAGGCTCGCGCGAAGGCGGCGGCGGACGAGGAGGCAGCCCTGCAGGCCCGGGGCTTGGCCGCTGCTGGGTAGCCCACCCTGGCGACGGTCATCGCAGCGCCGAGCGCGGCCACGGTTCCGGGAGGCGCGCTTCCACGCGCGGTGCCGGGCGAGGAGCGACCAGCGGGGAGAGATGGGCCAGCAGGTGGCGGAAGCCGTGAACGCAGCCCGCGTCGTGCGAACGCAGACGAGGTTCGCGCTGGCCAGAATTCCGATGACGATATTGGAGTGACGCAGGCGAGCCCGTCGAAGAAGGGGTGAGCCAGCCTGCAGAGCCGCTAGGCGCCAGTGGGGATCAGCCCGCGTGGGCTCCGAGCGCCGCGGCTCTGCCGGGGCGCCCGGCCCCGCTTCTTTTTTCGGTCATGCTGCCCGTCAGTCCAGTTCCCGATGGCGGCGACTTAGCAGCGTCGCTCGCGGCCCCAATGGCAAGACGCAGTGCTCTCCCCCATATTCGCGGCGCCGCCATCCACGCAACATATTGTGCAATGTCTCTTTCATCATCGTCTCCATTCTAGCGCCGTTGATTTCCTGGCGCAGCATGCCTGCTCTAATGATGGGCACGACGCGACGGTGACATGGATCATTTTGCATTGTACACAGACGGATCGCGAGGGTCAGACAGCGCGGACATGCAGGGGCCACCATCATGGGCGTTTGCTGTGCGTGGCGTGACGCAGGACGGCAACACATCGGATGGGTGGTTACATGGCCAGAACTGCCCCATCACTTCAAGATGATTACGTGAGCCCGTCGAGCCCCGCCGAGTTGCATGCTGCTCTTTGGTTTCTCTGTTGGCTGCTTCAGGCACCTTCGATATATCGCTCGAGGCGCATTACTGTTCGTTCGGATAACATGGTGGCGGTAGAAGCTGCTGCAGGAGGTGTGATGCACAGGTGTTGTGGTGCTTTGCCCATCCGGTTGGATTCACTCGTAATGCTCGCGCGAGTGCGCGCTGTGCTAACATGGTTGCATGTTCCAGGTCACACTGCATATCCACTGAACGAACTTGTAGATACACTTGCTCGCTCAGTTTCGGTCAAGGATATAGCTGATCGTCCAGAAGACGCAGTGCCTTGGTCGATGCTACTCTCTCATATGGACAAGGTTCCATGGTTGCGGTGGACGGCCGAAACCCACCGCGGTGCGAGGGAGTTCCCAAAGCTGACCCCAGCCCGCCTTGACAAGATTGCTCCTGCAGAGGTGTCCCCCCTGCGAGCTCCCTCGTCGCCAGCTGCTGGATCGACAGTTCGAGATAGTCAGCAGCCAGCCCCCGACAGTCCACAGGACACCGCGGCATCGTCTTTCTGTAAACTCAGGCTTGCAGTCGCTAGCGTACTTACACTGCGACCACGGAGACGACCTACACGATCTCAGGGCATACGTCTACGGTGCACGTATCGGGATGCAGCTGGCATTGATATCCCTGGCCGCATGCTGGCCCTTGCGCATCAGTTTGCCCGCTCCCAATTTCTTTTCGTAGGCACGCTTGAGACACGATTGAGGTACAACACATGGCGCGAAGTTGATCCGTATCTCGTGATGACGTCAGCGGCCGAATCAAATGGATGCTACGGGGTTGCGTTGTGGGTTAACATAGGATTGGGGCACCTTCCGGGTTGTGCGCTAAACAGACGACATTTCCGGGTACTCTCACATGGTTCACGGCATTTGCTTGTAGCTGCGCGGGCCCCCTCGCTACGCATCGATGATATTGTTGCACGCGCGCCGCGTGCACGTGCGACGAGAGGTCTC